CAAGAAATTGTTAGCAAACACGCAAATTTCTTATTATCTTGTCGCTTTAACATTTCTTTGCTGCTCCAGTGAGAAGCATGAAAGCTTTGATGTCATCTCTATAGCCTAGAAATGCTATGAGAACATTTTAAGATTAATGAAGGATTTCAAGGGAAAATTGGAAAAACGTTGTGACGACATACAGCAGCCCTTTAAATGGGTGAGAAATTTCTTCAAAAGCTCTAAAAATGCAGATGTTCGAGCAAATATGGCCTATTCTTGAATCAGTAGAGAAGATGCTTCAGTTTAGGCTAAAAGCGTTTACTGAATAGAAGTTTCTGAATGGTGGTGTTGTAGGAACTCAAAACTTTAGTTAAAAGTAAGCAATCAAGTTGGTACATACGAAAGTATATCAGCTTCTCCATTAACGCCCCTTTTTGCTTCCAGTGGCAATGGGATTATCTCAAAGTACTATTGTACTGTGCTCAAGCCTCAGATAGTGTATGTAACTCGATCTTTTCATTGAGAAAGTTGAGCAGTGCTTTTAATAGCTGCGTAAACATCGTAATTGGAGCTTTTATGGAACCAAAAACAGCAGCGTCAATAGATAGCGATCAACAATGTAGTAAACTGGTTAAATTCTGCCTCTTGGTCACTGAGGGATGAAAACTTTTGCATATCCTCGAAGAAAAATGTAGTAAAGTCTGCTTCCAGTATCATTGCAAACTGATAAGAGTAGGAATTGTTAAGAAATGGTAAGATCTTTTTGTCTGAAAAGTCAAATCTCAATATTTAAGAATATTGGAACTCGGGATTTCAAGTTGGAGAGAAATGCTGAAAAATGAATTTGAATTGATTTGCCCTAGATTTTTCTACGAAAACGCCAAATTGCGACCTTCCAAGTTCAGATTTTCTTTTAGATTGCCCTATAGAGACTTGATTTAATATTTTGAAGTCTAGGAATTTGAGAAATTGAAAAAAGACAGGGTTTATTTATCTGACTCATGTAATATGTGAAATTTAGTGAATGAAACTCGACTTACATATTCTAGGCATTTTTATACAAATGCACTTGTTCTGTCGTTGCCTAGCGCTGCCTGTACTGAAAGTTCACCAAAACGTCATTATTAAACAAATCCTCTCATTTCAATAGTGTTCTCATCTAAATATGTAAATTTCAAAAGAACAATTTTTCAAAAATTTTTCTAACTTTTTTCCATTTTCATACTTTGTTGAAGAGGAGGTAGAAAACAAAGCAGTGATTTGACAAAAAGAAACCGCTGACAACCTATTGCGAAGCTTATTCACATGGAACTGGCTGCCCAAAGTGTAAAAGTCAAATGCGATTTTCATAAACTCCATCACAACTTTTGTAAAAACAGTCAAAGTTTCGGTTAGGAGAGTTGGGCTAAAAAAA